TTATAATTTTGTTCAGTGTATATATATATATATTTAAATATTTCATTTTGAGTAAGTTAGTAGTGTTGCTATTTTCAGTTAGTGACACTGGTTTGTGTGTATGAGCTCATTGCCTGGCAGCAGTTTTGTCCAGCTCTTCCATACTGCGTTTCCTGTGCTAATGTTCATGTTTAAAGATGCTTCAGTGCATATAGATCATCAAAACCTTTTCTATCAGTGATCAGTGTATTTCAGTGGTTTTCAGTGTTGGTTTGAAGGACTGAATTTTTGCTGATGATTAATTGTCATAAAGATCGTAACTTGTGCAGACGTGTAGCTATAAAACACATCAGACAAAAGACAGTTTCTCACAGCTGAGAAACAAAACCAGAGCTTGTTGCATGTGCAAAGACCTGGTTTGTGTTGGACGATCAGCCTTGGAAGCAAATCACAACTTTGTGAACTTTGCTTCAGCACGTTTCACATTCTCTTTGGGAAAGCATCTCTGATTGTGTAACAAGAACAACACATGAAGCAGAGCTGTGCTGTCCAAGGTGAATGTTGCAATAGAAGGAAGGAACGATGATGTACTGTTCGATCCGTCAGGTTTTCACTATGTGCTTTGAGACACTGTTATGTAAGATGCCACACTGCTGCCTTTTAAGGGCACAGGAGAGCTTTACCCTGATCCTGTTTAGTCTGAACATCTCATCAGTGAGTCCTTCATCAGGTTTTCCTGGAAAAACAAAAGATGACCTTAAACAAAACACACACCCCAGGCAGAATGCAAGCAGTAAACTCCAATTTGATGTTGTGATGATTGTAATCGCTTGTGCAACATGTCTATACCTTCCCACGACCTTCATCCGATGCTGTCAAACTGAGTTTCCGTCTTTATATTTAGCTCAAGCATTCAGGTGAATCTCACGAAACCTGCTGATAACACCCTGAAAGAAAAAGGAAATAGGAAACTGTGTTGCAAGATTTTCATGACTTTGTGCTTGGAAACAGACTGACTCTGGTAATACAATGGCAGAGATGTTGATTGTCGCGTTGAGTGCTGATGTCATCATGTGGATGAAGCCATAGAGTGAGTCAGATTGTGTCAAGGCTCGTCGTACAGCACTGTGTGTGACTGAACTGGATGTGTGGAGATGTTGTGTTCACAGCTGATCTTCTTCAATTAAGTTTCTGATGTATTATTGCTGTATTTGGACTAGCTTAAAATATCTGCTTCACTTAAAGCAGACATTATAAATAAAATGTGGCTCTATCTATCTATCTGTCTATCTGTCTGTCTGTCTGTCTGTCTGTCTATCTTTTAATCATTCATTAAAGGTATGTCTTTACTCTGGCTAATGTGACTGTTGTTTATGTCTGTGATTATAATTTTATTCATGGTAACACATCACCTCTCATGGTCTCTGGCTCAAATGAACACATGATTTAATAGAATCCGTCATGCTGTGCCGCTGCTATGGGACATTTATTTAAATATGTGTTTTGTTTACAGCACAAAAACACATGATTATTTAGATGAACATCTCCATCTGTTTTGGTGAGGACAAGCAGCCTGGAGCAGTTTATCCAGAGCACCATAAATAAGCTGACGTATTAAACGAACCCTCCCGGACATTTGTTCAAATAATGCTCTTCTAATCACTAGCAGGGCACCACCATTTGACTACACAGTTACGAGCAGGATTTTTGCCTTGTTTTATACATTAGTCTGATTTATGCTTTTATTAGATTGTGAGGACTTCCTCTCTCAGTATGAATCCAGCCATGTGGTTTTCATTGAAACATTTATTTGCTAGAATACCAGCCACTTTTTCCCTTTTGCGTGAATCAGTAGAGAAGATAAACTTTCCTTATGTTTAATCTTATCTAAGAATGTCCAAAGAAAACTCCTTACTGTTCCTAGTCATAATATTTACATAAAGGTTATTCACAAATGCAGGTCCAAAATTAAGCTTTGCGACTCCTGATAACTGAGAAAATTAGTCATCTAAAATATATATAATTAGATATATTTAGGTATAATCTAGATAGATTTGTAGGTAGGTTGGTTGGTTTGTTCGTGGTTGGTTAATTCGTTCATTGGTTCATTAGATTGTTCTTTGGTTGGTTGGTTAGTTCATTAGTTTGTTGGCTGGTTGGTTCATTGGTTCATTTGTTGGTTGGTTCTTTGGTTCATTTGTTGGTTGGTCCGTTGATTGGTTCTTTGGTTCATTTGTTGGTTGGTTGGTTCTTTGGTTCATTTGTTGGTGCATTCGTTGTTTGGTTCTTTGGTTCATTTCTTGGTTGGTTTATTGGCTGGTTGGTTCTTTGGTTCATTCGTTGGTCAGTTGGTTCATTGGTTGTTTTGTTGGCTGGTTCGTTGGTTGGTTCCTTTTTATCTGAACAAAGCTGTGTACGCTGGCATAAGAAACACCACTGCGGAGCAGGGTCTCGACCCTGTGTGTGTGTGCATTACTGAAACACATCTAATGGTTTGCAGGAGGCCATGCCATCTCCTGCCACATGCTTTGTGATGCCTCAAACATCTGCTCTCACTCTCCAGAGACCACAGCTGTTCGGGTGGAAACCAATTTTTGATTCTTTCCACAGCTGAACTTCTGCAGTCACTGCAGTGCTTCTCATTAACTCTCGGTAGTTTGTCTTTCGGGGTTTAATAGTTTTAGTTCATCATAGAAGTTAATCTAGTTAAAGGAGTAATTCAAACAAAAATTAACATTTTATCGTTATTTACTCACCCTACTGTACATGTCCTGTGTTATTTTCCATGAAAACATAGAATTACTGTAGATACTATAGACAGAATGTCCTAAAAACATGCTTTTGTAGATCATAATTATGAGATAAAGAGTTGCAATTATGAAATACTAAAAGTCATAATTATGACTGTTGAAATTGACATAATTCAAAATTATGAAATAAATAAAGTTTAGGAGATGAAAACGTTGAAATTATGAAAATAATCAAAATTAGGAGATTAAACAGTCTTAATTGTTACGTAAAAAGCAAAGAATTATGAGACAAAAAGTCATTATGGCCATTTGAAATTGACACGAGTAAAAATTATTAAATAAATAGAAATTAGGAAATTAAGAAATTTAAATAATCGAAATTAGGAGATTAAAAAGACAATTATGACATAAAAAGTTTAAATTATCAGATGAAAAGTCATAATTATGACATAAATTAGGGTTAGTATATTAGTATATCATAATTATAAAAATTTCCACTTAAAAAATAATGCCATAATAATGACTTTTTATGTCTTATTTATAGCTTTTTATTTAATAATTTCTACGTTAATCTCATATTTATCACTAATTTCAACTATTTTTGTCATACACTGTAAAAAATAATGTTTTATCAAAGTAGTGAATAAAACCGTTATTGGAGTACATTTTACAAGAAAATACTATTTCAGTTTTCTACTTAAAAAAATAGTTTAATTCATTGTGTTACTTGATGTTTCTTTGTAATTATAATTTGTGAAATTTACTAGCAGTTCAGAGTGAAATTGTTTCTACAACATTTTTTCAATGTAATAATGATTTACAAGATTTAATTTTTTTTCTCATGTGTCAGAAATGGGCTCCTATATGTTTGAGATGCTCGTTTGCATGCAACAAAAAGTAGATGGTGCATGATGCGTTTTTCCAAACTGTTTTTATGTTGCTTTTTTGGGGGTTGATATGCATCCAGCTCAGAATTTGTCTAAGATCTCATTTTGTGTTTCACACAAGAAAAAAAGTCATACAGGTTTGAAACAACATGAAGGGTCAGTACATGACGACAGATTTTAATTTTTTTGTTTGGAGTGTTTCTTTAAGAGACCAGTGTGTTCAATTCATACTGAAGTGTGTGTGCCGTACATGTATACTGCAGGAGTATGAACATGTAGTGTACTGTAGTAGTATGTCTTCATCACAAACACCCTGATATGAAGATACACTTGGGTCATGTTATTTACGACCCAAGCATGACTGCCTCAGATCTTCACATGTGCGATTCTTGTCTCATCAGATACTTTTACTCTTTGACCAAACTGCAGAAATCAAATAGAAGATTAGAAAAGATCTAATTGTAAATGCCATGCAGATGAGTAATTTCTGCCTCGCCTCTAAATCAAGATGCATTCTGGGATCAATTAAGGCCAATAGTGTCCACTTGTTCCTGCAGTACATATCTGGATGTTGTTAATCAGTACGTATCATGTGTATCACAGCTTGACTGAGGTAATACACCATTACTGTGTGTGGAGGTGCTTTATCTCAATCTCTTTATAGGACTTAGAATAATTTATCGCAAGTTAATAGAGTAGTTCTGCTGTATTATCAGATGTCTGTACAGATATCAACATGTAGTAGTGCTCTGAGTACTGAAACACATTCATTGAAATTATATACGGTAGATTAAATTAAATAATTTCAAATAAATTATTTAAATAAATGGATTTATTCATTTATTTAAATACATTCAATTCATTAATTTCAAACAAATTGTTAAATCTATTTATTTTATGTAAATTAATTTATTTAAATCATTTCAAATGTGTATATATATATATATATATAAAAAAAAGATATTTTGTAAATTTCCTACCGTAAATATATCAAAACTTAATTTTTGATTAGTAATATACATTGCTAAGAACTTCATTTGGACAACTTTAAAGGCGATTTTGTTTTTCAATATTTAGATTTTTTTTTTGCACCCTCAGATTCCAGATTTTCAAATAGTTGTATCTCTGCCAAATATTGTCCGATCCTAACAAACCATACATCAATGGAAAGCTTATTTATTCAGCTTGTATAAATAAATAAGATGTATAAATCTCAATTTCAAAAAATTGACCCTTCTGACTGGTTTTGTGGTCCAGGGTCACGTATATATATATTGCAATTATTATTATAATTATTATCATGTAAACCTAAATGTCCATATCAGTGAATCCATAAATAACATTAATGCTTACAGTCCGTCTCTCTTCCATTTCTCATTCACAGGGATCTACCTGCTGGACATGATTTACATCGACTCGGCCTATCCTGCGTCTGACAGCATCATTGAGACCGAGCAGAGAACCAATCAGATGAACAACATCCTGCGGGTGATCTCTGACCTCCAGATGTCCTGCACATACGGTCAGTTCATTAGCTCTCAGTCAGCTTCGCAGGATATTTAGTCGTGTCATCTGTAGGGAGATTTCAGATCCACGTGTATACTGTATATACATGCACACGTCTGACCCTCGACATCCTCCTCAACAGATCACCTCGTGACCCTCCCGCATGTGCAGAAGTACTTGATGTCTGTTCGCTACATCGAGGAGCTTCAGAAGTTCGTGGAAGACGACAATTTCAAGTAAGAAGGTCTCAAAGGTAAAATGCAAAGGGACTGTATTTAAATACGGTGCGGAGCTCCTGCTTCAAACAGCATGATGACTTCAGCAGGACGCATGGCACCGGCAGAGGCCCGAAGCGAGGGCGACCCGTTGCTTGGATGATTTAAGGCTTAGCAACCCGGAAATGGCATATGATTGCATTTGTGTTTTTCTGGTGGCGGTATGACGGCTGATATTCCTAGGCATTTGACACTGGGAATTCACAGGTCGCTGCTTTTATAGGCAAACAACAGCGTGATTAGATTTTTTGGGAGGTCGGCACAGTGAGCAGCAAAGTCATCACATAAATGTGGTGAAACTGTAACCACCTTTAGACATTTTGATTGTGCCATTAAATAGTGTTTTACACAAATGTAATGTGTTTTTATTAAAATCACTGGGTGTTCTGTGAGTTCGAGCAACATTGCTTAAGCTCAGCAGGGTTTAGGTTGACTGTGTCCAAACACATGGTGGAACCAGCAATCAGATGAGAAATAAATCCTTATATGCAGTTGTTCCAAACCATATAATACACTTGATGGTGGTGAAATATAAATTGTGTCTTATTTGTAAATACACCCATAATATTTATTTATTTATTTATTTACTTACTTAAATGTAAAACTGCATCTAGCAATTCTTTGCCAGTATTGTTGTTTAAATTGCAGTAATTGCATTATTTTTTAGCAAAGTTTTGTTTTTAATTCTGTTATTGGTTATAATCATATATTGGGCAGAACCTCGCAGTCTGGTTGGTTACGCCCCATTCACACGGGGCATCAGCATCAATGCCTCTCGTTTACTTTGAACGGAGTGACGTCAAGCGTTGTCGAAATGAATTGTGGGTCCGTCGCGTCGCGTTAGGTCCGTTGCTCGCGGCAGAAGTTGAAAATTTTTCACATTTTTAAGCGCCAACGCAGGCGTCAGCCAATCAGATCGCCTTATGCAAATACCCTAGCGCTAGCCAATCGCATTCATGCAACACCAGAAGACTAATGTGATTGGCTGTTGTCACTATGACGGTCGCGTCAGCACCAAGCTTCAGAAACGCCCTCCATCAAGCGTTAACGCTGACGCCCCGTGTGAATGGGGCGTAAGAGTCAGAATGACCGTAATGCCCCTGGTTTAAAGGTATTTGCAACTTTTTATGGCTTTTTTCTCACAATTCTGCATTTATATCTCATCATTTGGACAAATCACAATTCTGAGAAAAAAATCTGAAATTTGCAAGATAAAAACACAATTTTGAGATTTAAACTTGCAGTGGCCTTTTTTAATTTTTTATTCTGTGGCAAAAAAAAACAGAATTCAAGATGTAAACTTGGAATTGCAAGAAAAAGTAACAATTCTTATTTACAATTCTTATTTCTTGTTGTTTATATCTCGCAATTCTGAATTTTCTTCTGTGTAAAAAGTCACAATTACCTTTTCTATTCCATTTTTTATTCTCTTTCATATCTGATTGTGGAAACAAGCCTTCCATAGAACAGGGTTAAAGGGATATTTCAAACGAAATGTTTTTGTTTGTTTTTTTGCTTCTGCAAAACACCAAAGATATTTTGAAAAATGCATGTGCTTTTTTGTGGCCATTCAATGAAAGTCAAGACATTATTTTGAAGGTTATTTCAGGTCGGTGCTATTTCTTTGCCTGTGCAATGAAAATCTGTGGGGTCCAAAACCACAAAAACAGTTGAAACATTCTTCAAAATATCTTATTTTGTGTTTTCGCAGAAGAAAGTTAATCAAACAGGTTTGGAATGGCATCAGGTTGAGGTAATGATGACTGAATTTTCATTTCTGGATGAGCTGTCTCTTTAAGTAGAGGGGTGACCAGCGTTTTAGCAGTTTGTAATCAGTAGTGACGCATACCAGATCTTCAACCTGAAGCTTTAAGGAATGCAGCAGATCTCTCTTTGTTTTAATGTGAACTTCTGAAGTTCTCCTCTCCACCTCATACCATCATGAACAGCTGTGAAGTGAATTTGTGAATTAGCGATTCATCCGAGCGAGTTAAAAGAGCCTGTGATTATGCTGGATTTAAATGCTTCTGCTGTGGGACAGTCGTCTCAGTGCTGAAGAGCCTGTAATTACTGGCACACACTGTATCAGAAGTACATTAGCCATGGGAGAGGAAACGTGATAATGAGTCCAGTATCCTGATATCACCCGTGCTGAAAAGCATTATTCTGTTGAAGCAATCATATTAGCACAAACTTACGAAATATTATCTTGTGTTGTTTATGAAATTGAAATATCCTTCATCAACTGGTAAGTCAGCTTTAGCAGAGGTTTGAAACAATAACCTCATGTTTCATGGCTCTTTTTGTACCTGTCTGAGAAGTTTCCTGTGGCTGTTCATCCGTAACGACTCAGACATAAACACTTCCCAGCATCACTCTTTCATTTAGCTCGTCTGAAATGATTATTTTCTTGGCTTCACTCACTTCGCTGAATTTGGAGTGGATTCTGTGCTGACGATGGACGATCAGTAAATGTCTTTTTAATCAGAGTTCTTCAGTTTCAAGTATGCAGTCCCAGGGAATACATCCATCACACATCACATGTCTTATACACAGGTTTGGAGAGAAACAGTTTTAAAATGGCTTAAAATGGTGATACGTAACCAAAATACAAAAAAAAGAGAGAGAGAAAGAGAGAGAGAGAGAGAGAGGTACTCAAGGCTCAACAATAAGGATTTTTTTTCCTGCTAACCTAGTCATTTTTTACTTGTCAGCATTTTATATACATTTATATTTTTTCATTTAAAGTTAGATTTTACATTTTCGAAAAAAACTATTTAACTTTTATTTGTCATTTAAAATTAGGTTTTGCATTTTCAGCATATTTTTTAAAATATATATATATATTATATTATATAAATCTGTATTATTGTAATATGTATTTATACCAGTTTATATTTTTCATTTTAAATCATGTTTTTTACATCTTTCTGAAAATATATGTATTGTTTTATTTGTCATTTAAAAGGATAATATTTGCATATATTAGTTTATATTTAAATCATGTTTTTTACATCTTTCTGAAAATATATGTATTGTTTTATTTGTCATTTAAAAGGATAATATTATAATATTTGTGAAAACAAAAGAAAAATATATTTTTTCAAGTTTGTATTCATCATTTAAAATTAGGATAAAAAAAAAAATATATATATATATATATA